ATATGGGGCCGCCGCCCTAGTCTTTTTTTTTTTTTTTTTTTTTGGAGACAGAGTCTCACTTTGTCACCCTCGAGTGCTGTAACATCACAGCAACCTCAAACTCATGGGCTTAAGCTATTCTCTTGCCTCAGCCTCCCAGGTAAACTGGGACTACAGGTGCCTGCCACAACGTCAGGTTATTTTTGTTTTGTTGCAGTTGTCATTGTTGTTTAGTTGGCCTGGCTCGAACTTGCCAGTCTTGGTGTACACGGCCAGTGCCCTACTCACTGAGCTATGGGTGCCAAGCCACCATCTTCCACTCTTAAAGTCACTCACCACATTCCCCCTCAAAGATCCACCTCCATTATGTAACCATAATCCTAAGCTATAAAGGCACTCAATGGTCAGTATTCTGGTTTAGACTTCTTTTCAATTCAATCTGTCAGTGGGGTGCTCTCCTTGAGCTACTGTTTCAGACCAGAAGCCTGTACTGGCCCTCCTAACAGTTACCACCCAGCACAGCACATAGGCCCCACACCTATCTTCTCCAGGGTAGTCTTACCTGCCCCCTCAAATCCCTGAACCCTCATACCTACTGTTGTCTATGCTCAGGCTGCACCTTCTAGCCCCACTTATGTAGGACTTCGCACTAGTACAAGTCACTTCCACCCATAGAGTGACAAACTGATGAGGCTTCTCTTTTACCAGATTTTTTTTATTTTTGAGACCGTGTTTCACTTTGCTGCTCTTGGTAGAGTGCTGTGGCATCAGAGCTCACAAACCTCAAACTCCTGGGCTGAAATGACTCTCTTGCCTCAGCCTCTCAAGTATCTGGTACTACAGGTGCCCATCACAATGCCTGGCTATTTTTAGAGACAGAGTCTCGCTCTTGCTCAGGCTGCTCTTAAACTCCTGAGCTCAGGCAATCCATTGGCCTCAGCCTCCCAGAATGCTAGGATCACAGGTGTGAACCACTGCACCCAGCCCTTTTACCAGACAGATTTTGATCTGGATGTTGCAAATAGCCAATCCTTTTCTCCTCCCTCATAAAAATTCTTTTACTGATACTGAATATTTCACATATAATAAAATCCATCCAAAGTATGCAATTCGGTGGTTTTTAATATATTCAGTCAGAGCTATGCAACCATCACTACCATCTAATTCAAGAACCTTTCCATTGTCCCCAAAAGAAACCCCGTCCCCAATACCAGTCACTCCCACCTTATCCCTCTGCAATCTCTGACAACCACTAATATACTTTCTGCCTTTAAGAATGTGCCTATTCTAATTATTTCCTACAGATGCAATCAAGGTTCACCAACATTATAATGTGTCAGTACTTCATTCCACTGTGACACACACACAAGTTTTTATGTAGATATACAGTTTGAATTGATGGGCAATATGGTAATAACCAATCTCTTTTTATATCCAGTACAGCCTGGCTTTAATTTCCTTTGCAGCTTTTGATTCTTCCTTTCCCAGGACACTTTCAAATGCCTAACTACATTCTCTACCTCGTGCTTCTACCCACAAGGTAATCCTTTTTTTTTTTTTAATGTTAAGATTCGTCTTTATTAGCAATGTTGGAAGATTTCCTGATTTTTTGTTGTTGTTGTGTTGCAGTTTTGGGCTGGGGCTGGGTTTGAACCCACCACCTCCGGCATACGGGGCCAGCGCCCTACTCCTTTGAGCCATAGGCGCTGGCCCCCACAAGGTAATCCTAATAACCCTCCCCCCTTTTTTTTAGAGACAGAAGTCTCACTTTGGTGCCCGTGGTAAAGTGCTGCGGCGTCACAGCTCACAACAAGCTCCAGCTCTTGGACCTAGGCAATTCTCTTGCCTCAGCCTCCCAAGTAGCTGGGGGACTACAGGCGCACACCAATGCCCAGCTATTTTTTGTTGCAGTTTGGCTGAGGCTGGGTTCAAACCTACCACCCTTGGTAGATGGGGCAGGCACCCTTTCACTGAGCCACAGGCACCGCCCCAATAGCCCTTCTTAAGACTGTAAATCTTGGCCAGGCAGAGGGGCTCACTCCTATAATCTTAGGACTTTGAGAACTCAAGGCAGGTGGATTGCCTGAGCTCATAGGTTCAAGACCAGCCTGAGGAAGAGTGAGACCCTATCTCTAAAAATACCCAGGCATTGTGGTGGGCACCTATAGTCCCAGCTACTCAGGAGACTGAAGCAAGAGAATCACTTGAGCCCAAGAGTTTGAGGTGGCTGTGAGCTGTAACGCCACAGCACTCTACTGAGGGTGACAAAGTGAGACTCTGTCTCCAAAAAAAAAAAAAAAAAAAAAAAAGACCATGAATGTCTCTGTTCATCTCTCATCCTGAATAGTCTATAGAAAAGAACTAGCCAAGAGAATTGCAGGCCAACCTTGATGCAAGTTTAAGTGGAATTGTACTGAAATTATAACTCAATTCAAAATCTCAGCCATAATCACTTGAACACTTACGAGGCAGTTGTTGTGGACGCTCAGGAGGGAAAAAATCTCCCTTTGGTAAGGCCCTCTCATCCTGAAAGAGAAAGACACAAATAAATCTCAGTAACTATCACAACACCATTTATATCAGCAAAAGGTAGAAACAATCCCCATCAACAAAAGGACTGATTAAATACATTAAGGTTTATCTATGCCAAAGAATAATATGTAAGAAAGGAAAGGCATGCAGGAATGTGCCTATTACCTTCAGTGGCAAGAGGAGGGCTAACAATACCTATGCACATGGCTTGGCACCCGGAGCTCAGTACTTAGGGCACCGGCCACAAACCCAAACCGGGCCTGCTAAACAACAATGACATCTGCACCAAAAAGCAGCCAGGCTTTGTGGCAGGCACCTATAGTCCCAGCTACTTGGGAGGCTGAGGAAGAAAAATCACTTAAGCCCAAGAGTTAGAGATTGCTGTGAGCTGTGATGCCACAGCACTCTACCGAAGGTGACATAGTGAGACTCTGTCTCAGAAAAAACAAACAAACAAACAAACAACAACAAAAAAACCCCAATACCTTATGTATATCATTGTGGAAGACAGGACAGACCTGGGCAAGAACAACAAGGGGGAACTCTCACACTATCTTTTCATGCTTTTTTGACTCTTGAGTCGCATGCATCCATTTATTTATTAAATACTAAAGTATTTAGTGAAACCAGATACAATCAAGGTTCACCCAGTTTTCAATACTTAAATATTTAAAGGAACTAAAAACTACTTAATGGTTCCTTTTACCTTTTCCCTAAATTTGAGTCCCAACTAGTTCCAGTCGTACTTATATCAACTATTAATCTCTGGCACAACTATAGTAGGATTTACGTTTATTGAGAATAAGTATTTCAACAGACCTCTAAAAGCTGTCTCAATCGAAGACTTAAATATGTTCACAACAGTTTTAAAACTAACTAAGCCTTATGCTGTAATACTCTAGAAACTGGAAACCTACAAATAACTATTCACCTGCTCAAGGAGGATACTCAACTGACTTCTTGAACGATTCCCTAACAGTCAACTATGCAAAGAGAAAAAATACCTAAAGAAGACAAGAGAGTTGTGTGAAAAAAGTTATTTCATCACAGACTTGATCAAGGCACTACTGCACCCCTTTTTAACTTAGACTAATCCATAAATAATGGATAGATGGATAGTGGCCATATGTACACTCTTTTTTTTTTTGAAGACAGAGCCTCAAGCTGTCACCCTGGGTAGAGTGCTATGGCATCACCGCTCACAGCAGCCTCCAACTTCTGGGCTCAGGGGATTCTCCTGCCTCTGCCTCCCAAGCAGCTAGGACTACATGCGCCGCCCAACGCCCAGCGATTTTTTTGGTTGCAGCCATCATCGTTGTTTGGCGGGCCCAGGCTGGATTGAAACCCACCAGCTCAGGTGTATGTGGATGGGGCCTTAGCCACTTGAGCCACAGGCACCGAGCTCTTTTCGTGTTGAGAAAGTCTCACTACGTCACCCTCAGTAGAATGCCGTAGCGTCACAGCTCACAGCAATCTCTTAGGCTTAAGAGATTCTTCTTGCCTCATCCTCCCAAGTAGCTGGGACTACAGGGGCCTGCTATAATGCCCCAGTTATTTTTAGAGATGGGGGGGTGGTTTCTCCACTCTTGCTCAGGCAATCCACCCACCTTGGCCTCCCAGAGTGCTAGGATTTTTCTTTTTGAGACAGAGCCTCAAGCTGTTGCCCTGGGTAGAGTGCTATGGCATCACAGCTGACAGCAACTTCCAACTCCTGGGCTCAAGGGAGTCTCCTGCCTCTGCCTCCCAAGTAGCTGGGACTACAGGCGCCTGCCACAACGCCTGGCTATTTTGGTTGCAGCAATCATTGTTGTTTGGCGGGCCTGGGCTGCATTTGAACCCGCCAGCTCAGGTGTATGTGGCTGGCGCCTTAGCCGCTTGAGCCACAGGCACCAAGCTGCATGCTAGGATTATTACAGGCATGAGCCACGGTGCCCAGTCATTATATACTCTTAATAATAATTACACATTTTTGCTAGACTTATTTGGGTATATATATTGTGGAGAAGATCCTATTGACTTACCATTTTGACATGCATTGGTCTATCAAATAGCAGTTGGCCATTGAACATAGCTGAAATTACAATTAAGGCTATTTCTTGCAATTCTAAACACATACACAATAAGAAAGAAATAGGAAAATACTCCAACTGCTATCACCCCGCGTAAGTGATGAACTTATGAGCAACCCCAATGTTTCATCATAATTTCAAGTTATCTGTCTCCACAAAAAGCCTAAAAGAAACAACTTTTCATCAAGCCACCCTCTTAAGCAGCAGCATCATAGTTTTCTGTACACAGCCAACAGACCAGATGTCCTACCACTCTGTGAATGACATTTTCTGAGTAAGACTCTCAGTGACTGGGCAGTGCCTATGGCTCAGTGAACAGGGCGCCGGCCCCATACACCAAGGGTGGTGGTCCAAACCTGGCCCAGGCCAAACTGCAACAAGAAAATAGCCAGGCGTTGTGGTAGGCACCTGTAGTCTCAGCTACTTGGGAGGCTGAGGCAAGAGAATCACCTAAGCCCAAGAGCTAGAGGTTGCTATGAGCTGTGATGCCATGGCACTCTACCGAGGGTGACAAAGTGAAACTCTGTCTCTTAAAAAAAGAAAAAAAAAAAAAGACTCTCAGCGACAGTTTAGCCTGAGCTAAAAGACTGTATTATGTGTGGTATTCTCCATGTGATTAAAAAGATATAACTCCCAGGGTTAAGTCTAAGGTCAGGGAGAAGTAACTCTTACAAAATGATGTCTACTCACAGAGAGAATTCTGTAAAGACTTACTGAATATGGAATCACAGGTCATGTGCAATGGCTTACACCTATAATCCCAGTGCCTGGGGAAGGTGAGGTACAAGGACTGTTTGAGGCCAAAAGTTTGAGACCAGACAGAATATCTTACTGAGACCCTGTCTCTACAAGCAACTTAAAAATTAGATAGGTGTAGGCCGGGCACAATTGAGAAGTGGTTCATGCCTATAATGCTACCACTCTGGGAGGCCAAGGCAGGTGGACTGCCTGAGTCAGAGCAAGACACCATCTTTAATAAAAATAGCCAAGTGGGCTCGGCGCCTATGGCTCAGGTGGCTAAGGCGCCAGCCACATA